ACGTTGTTGGAGTTTATGCTTTGTTTATGTTTTGTTTTTTATTGGTAGAATTGACGGAGCGTCTCACGTCGTTAGAGTTTATGAAACATAATTATGCTAATTTTAAGATAAAATGGCCTTTATGGTTTTGTTTGTTGGTATTTTGCATGGGTATAATAAAATTCTGCAATAAGGTAACGACATTAAGAAAAAATGGCCTTTATATTGGTTTTATTTTGTTGGTCTTTTTTGCATGGATATAATAAAATTCTGCACTGAATTTATGACAACGGTAGACTTGACGGAGCCTCTAACGTCGTTGGAGTTTATGCAACATATGCTAATCTTATCATAAAATGGCTTTTATGTTATTTTTTTTCTTTTGCATGGGCATAATAAAATTCTGGACTGAGTTTACGACATAAAAGTTTGTGGCTACACGTTGTAGATATATTAATTTTCAGCATTCAGATATGAGAGGAAAACTGGTGAGGCGCGATTTCCATCGGTTATGGCGAAAAATATCAGAAAATGGACGAGCATATTAGAATTGAATCATGGTCAGAATCGGAATCGGTAGACTTGAGGTAGTCTCTATGACGTGTTTGGAGCTTAATGTATGCAACATTTGATTAACTCAATATCAAAAATAATATGGCTTATGTCTTTTGCATGCATTGACTTCATAAAATTCTGCACTGATATAAAAAAAAGTTTGTGGCTACACTGTCGAAATATTAAATTTCTGCATGAAGTTACGAATTAAAGAATCAGTGTTGATATGCGAGTTACGCCGAAAGAAATCAGAAAAAGGACTAGAATATTAGTATTGAATGCTTTGTGTGATTTTGTACAAATTCCTGGATCCTCCCTGGTTTTATTCTTATACTAAGAGCTGTGATTTTGAAGTCCCTGGTGACCAAATATGATGAAATAATGTGGTAGCAGTACTATTATTGTAAGCAGTCGCTTTCTTATTTGTTCCAACAAATATAGTAAAACGTAGTAAAATGAAGTAAAATGCTTCCGCTTCCAATTTATATTCAAGTTTTATTGCACTTCCGGTAACACCGGAAGTAAAGGTCAAACAGTTTTGTTTCCGGGAACAAGAAATGTTACTCAGTGCATAGTCTACAACCTCAAGAAAAACGAACACGATACTCTATTGAGTTCAAAATATATAGCTCAAACTATTTGATGACGCAACAAATTTATAACATCTTTAGTAATATGGTACAAATTCACACTAGGAATTGGCCTAGGGGTGCATACCTGCAAATAAACTCCCATAGACACTAGTGCTAAATGCCCATACTTCAAAATTCTTTTAAAAATACTCAAAACTCTCACAGGTATTCAAGCTGCACAGAAAAATGATGATCAATGTGTCATCTTTCATTTTCTTTTCAATTTATGGTAGGTTGACCATTGACTTTTCGAGATATTTTCACGCAAAGAAGACGACCCCTATTTTCCCCAAAGCGGAAAAGTAGCCATCTTGAAAAACGATCCCTCCACAACATGGCAAAATAGCGCCACTTTCGAGCCCAATAGCATCCAAAATGCTCAGAATTGGAAGCCCCAAGTCCGGGCCAGAGGTTCACTACCATATCTCTTCAATTCCCCAATTTTACGGCGCTCAGAACTCTCTAATATAGAATATTTTGAGGGTATAACTTTTATTCATGAGCTTGGCAGATCGATTTACCGGTGTGCACCCCTAGATGTTATACTGACAGTTCGTGGATAATATTGTTTGGTCGTGATAACGCCCTCTCGCGGCGGCGGGTTATCGCGGCGGCGGTATGTCGCGTATCAAACCATGGACCTTTATCACGAATCGGCCATTTTGAATTGAAAGTTAGGTAAAATCTTAATTTTTGGAACTTGCGAAGAGAAATGAAAGCAAGTTCATTTATAATAAATTCCAGTCTGCTTCAATGAATAATTTTGAAATGTGTAATTCAACATTCCGTAATGTTTAAAGCCGTATAAAAAAAATATGACAGTAAAACAAGGCTGCATTGTGCCTGCAAAAATAGTCTGGTGCCATCCTATTACACAGTAAACAATAGATGAAATACATTCATGGAACTCGACAAAACTCGTAAATAAGGCCCATAACAACGTCTAGCCCCTGGACTAACCATCCAGCGGAGAGCAATCAGAGCTTTTCTAAAACAAGGTTTTCAGGAACAGTCTTACGATGATCGCTAAATCCCTAAATCTTACGACTCTTAACAACCGAAGAGATTTTTGAAAAGTGTAATTCATTGCTAATTGTGTGCTTGTTATTAAAAGAGTCGATTTTATGGGTGAATTTCTAAGCACATTGTTGTTAACAGTAGAAATAGCGAACTTTCCATCATGCTAATTTAAGGACAGATAAATACAATTACTCTAGGGCTGTGGGATTTCCAAAAATGTTTCCTGGTCTTGATATCGACATCAGGAATGCTCTTATCGCTTCTGGGTTTAATTTGTTTTAAAGCAGACAACATTCTTACAATGTACAGTTTTTTAGATCCTTATTTAACATTTTCAATGTGTTGCACTATTCCTTTTGTCCACCATAATTTTGATTGGGTAAATCTGCTCCGCCCAGCTTGTCTTTGTCCAGCTCGCTGTAATACAAATAATCATTAGAAATAAACGGGTCCTCACACTTTCCGCAACGACAGATATATCATGCCCCATAATTGCAGTTCACAGAATCTAACAGTTAAATACAGTCGTGAATATATAAAGTTGCAAACGTTTATGTTCCGATTTCAATGTGCAGTTGCCACTACAGACACTCAGTCATGGATGTGCACGCACGGTAATTTATGTCAACTGTCATGGTGAAAATGTTTAAATGTCTTTAAAGAACACGGTGAAAAGAACATTTTAGGAACAAAAATGATCTGTTAAATTAAACCCACCAACCGATTCGGCACCAAAACTACCCAAGAATCAAAACGATAGCACCTATAGTCCCACCACCTTGTTGCAATTTATAAATATATATAACTACATGTACTTGAAATTATTCCAGTATTCCGTTAACCCTAAAGGGGCCGGGGGGTTTTTCGCGACCCGAGCTGTTATGACGTTTTAGCCTCGAGCTTTGCGCATCTGTTGATACCAAAAACATAAAAATCGGACCACGGGTTGCCGCGTAGCGAAAAATTTTCCGGCGCTACGCGCCGTGAAAACTGCATTTTCGCATATACGTCGTGTACACAGAGCAGAATTGCCATTCGTACATATGAATAATTAATTAGCCATAATTCCAAAACCCTTTGACATATAGTCATGAAATTTCTTGGGTATGTTTAGGAAGAGTGGCTCTATGCATGTGCCAAGTTTCAAAATTTTTCGTCACTCGATGGCTGAGATCTTAGGGGGGGGGGCGGAATCCGCCCCCCCCCGGCTGAGAGATGGTCAAAATAACCCGGCCCCTTTAGGGTTAAGACAAACTGATGACAATCAGTTTACGTGCTAAAAATGGCCACATAATTTACCACCATAATTATCGCAATCCCAGGAATATTCTTGGATTGAAATCAGTCGTTGCAAGATGTTTTTACTCCCAATGCACAAAGTTGCATGCTCAAGACGCGTACGTAGGAAATTTGCGTGCGCGCATCAAGTGGTAAAAATGCTGCCCAACTGGTGCTCTCTGAAGTCCGTATTCCTTCCCAAAACTGTTGTAATACACGATACGTTAGCACTTACAACCTTCTTGACATTCGCACTGCATTATCTGTACAAGGTGAGTAAAAAAAAACGAAACCCAAATATCGGGACCATTGTTTAAGTGAAGTTCCGTATGTAGCACTTTCAATATCTAGGATCGGATATGAAAGCCCAATTCCTAAGCTTTTTTTTTAGTACCAGAATCATTCAACATGACTCATGTACTTTTCAAGTTACGGAGTTTTAAAACACAGCCACCGTTTTAAAGGTCTGTCCACGGATCACATAAAAAAATGTGTGTTCTTTCAGCAAAACGAAAACAATTCACATACATTCTTATGTGATTTGTTTTCGTTTTGCTGAGAGAACACTGAACTTTTTTTGTGATCTGTGGACAGAACCTTAAAACGGCGGTTGGGTTTAAAACTCCATAACTTGAAAAATGCATAAGTGATTTTAATGATTCTTGTACTAAAAAAAAAAGCTTATGAATTGGGCTTTAATATCCTAGATTTTGAAAGTGCTACATGCAGAACCTGACTAAAACAATGGTCCCGACATTTGGGTTTCGTGTTATTTTTTACTCACCCTGTAGAGATGACAAAAAAGCATTGCAGTTTATGCACACACATAGTGGATATGAACCAGTCTAGCTTTAAACTAGTTTTCTACTTTTCTTTTTCCAAGATTAAATGATCATCGATTCACCTGTAAATGCATACATTATAAGAAATATAATTTTAAGATATCATTCAGATATTTTATACTCTGGAAATAATCATAAGACGGAGATAATATATTATTTAAGTTTTTCCGGGTGCCAGTCAGTAGGCCCAGTGGGACAATTGTGACGGGTCAGTGTTGGTGGTATGATTTGACATCTCGATTCTGATTGGTATATATTGGCAGAATAATATTGCAAAAAGTCATGAGTAATGAAACCGGTCTCTAAAAAGGTTTCCTACAAAACCTTCTTCATTCTAAAAGGCTTTAAAAATGAGTACATTTCAAATTACCTATGCAACAATGCGGCAAAAGATAATTACTAAATTTTTGATATAATTATAACGAGGAGGAATCAAATGAAATTTGTAACTGGTACTCGGCCCTGTATGTTTGTGCACACAGTGGCTGGTTTGTTTGTCATCTAGACCAAGATGCATTTAAAATATCGAAAAGGGCTATTGGATAGGCGGTATGAGTTGTGACGTGCGCACTCTGTTGGCGAATCTGTATTATTCAAAACGAATTTCAACTTTTATCAGAAGAATAATAAGGTCCCTTTTTAATGTGACCAACACCATGACTCCCATTAGGCTAGTTGTATTGTATTGTCAGGATTAATTGTCTGGTTCCTGCATTGTTTGCAGGGTGACCACATCACTCTCAGAATTGGCAGTGCCCCTACCGAGGCAGATCAAACGGTACATGCCGACGCGGAACTCTCGGATACGCCACCAGTAAATGAACGGGTTGATGAGAGAGTTGAACACCAGTAGGATGGCACTAAGGTGGAAGAAAATCTTGAGGCTTTGGGGCTGAACAGATAAGCTCTTGCCACTGAAGTAAACCATGAAATTTGAGATGGAGTGTGGGATCCAGCATCCAATGCACGTGACTAAGATGATAGTGAAGGTGATCATCAATCGGCGCGTCTGGCGGAGGCGCGTACGGGCCACAGCGTCGTCGGCCCGGACGCCTTCGGTGGATGCAAGTGGTGGAGTGTACCGGGCGATTTGACGGAACACGGCGCAGTAACAGACAGCCGTGATGAGCAGGATGACCAGCCCGATCAATGGCCGCAGCATCCGGGTCACCAGTAGATTGTGGTGCTGCGTGGTGGGGACATAGATGGCGGCGGAGATGACCCAAATCAGCAGGCAAGCTGCCAGCATGCGACCACGTGTCACCATGGCGTCATAGCGAGCTGGTGGCGTGATGGTCAGAGCTAGCAAGCGATTCACAGCAATCGCTAGGATGCTCAACTGAACGGCACACAGCGACGTTTGTAGTAACGAATGCACCACGGGGACGTAAAAATACACCGTAGAAAGATGAAGGTCGGAGCCGCAATGTCGCCGAGCACGAGGTTGAAGGCGAAGCCGTAGTACTTGACGCGGAGCTGCTTGGTAGCTGCAAATAGCACCACGGCAAGGACGTTACTGACTATGGCTGCACAGCAGACTATCAGCAAAGCAGTGTTGAAGGCTTGCAAAGTGTCAACCATGTTGGGGTCTGGTAATCTATTGGCATACAAAACAAAAAGTAAACTAAAGGTTCACGTTTGTTGAGTTACAAACGCAGAGTGGTTAGGCAGACAACTATGTCATTGAAGGCTGTCCAGTACTTTTTAAGTTGTGAATATTTTCATGTCAGAACAAAGGATCACGAAATTTAACCTTTCCAGTACAACCAATTATTTCGTTTAAAGCTGTAGTCCATCATTTGCAGCCATCCGAAAAAGTAACTGGCGTAATTATTATTATAAGATGGAATTATTATTATAAGATGGCGTAATTATTGTTGAAAAACAAACTTGGTTGAAAGATAGTAAGGGAACTAAACTCCCTGTGAAATTATTCTTTCTTTGTAAGCTGTCAATTTGAAGTTATCAACGAAAGAAGGCCTTTCCAACGGTGCGTCTTAAGATGCACCGTAGGAAAATTTAATTTAGTAGTTCGTTTTGTTATTCGGCGAAGCGCGCGCAACCATTGGCACGACGCACACGCGCGAGCGGGTACTATTATTCGTCGGATCAGTGCGCGACGTCGCGTATAGCTGCAATTCAAAACAATTCAAAACATGATTCAGTAACTTTTGATTTGAAATTGAGATCCTAGAATGCTGTTTTTCTCGGAATATACAGCTGAAGCTGAGCTGAAACTTTATCAGGCTAGTTGTTTAGTATCCTTCATTAGATTTTGAACACTTTTGTAGCTTCAAACGAACAAAATGCACAAATTACAAATGATGGACTGTCATAATTAAACCCACTAACCGAGTCGTTCCCAAAATACCAACCTTTCTGCTACAATAATCGAACTACTTGAAATCATCATTTACAGTATTCCGTTAAGCCAAACTAATGACAATCATTTTACAACAAAATGGACACAAAATTTACTGCCGATACTGCAATCTCTGTAATGTTCCAGATAAGTGAGTAACGAAACTGGTCTCTACAAATGGATTCCAAAACCTGTCTTCATTTTAATAGGCTTTAAAAAATGGTTTTTAAAATGAGCATATTCCAAATCACCAATGCAACAATGCGTGAAAAGACAAATGTGAAAAGATAATCACAAAATTCTTTATATTATAATGAGGAGGAATAAAAATATGAACGTTGTAACTGGTACTCGGCTCCATTATACTTGTGCACAAATTGCCTGGTTTGTTTGTCATCCAGACCCAAGATGCATTGCGAATATCAACAGGATAGGATGGTATGAGCAGAGCCATATATAGAGAGAGTTTCGACCCAAAAATCCAACTTCACGAAATTAGGTCAAAAGTTCTCACCAGGTGGGTAAAGGCCAGAAATGAATCCCCGAGAGATTTGAGATCACTATAGTCAGAAACTAGTGAGAAAACACACATTTCAGGTTTTTTAACCAAATGTCCTGAATCTAAACAGTTTTCCATATCCGCGGTCAACATAATCCACAATTTTGTTTCCAAACAGTGCGACCCTCATGTCGCAACTCTCTCTATATATGGCTCTGGGTATGAGTTGTATTAAAAGTACGCCATCTATTGGCGAACCCGAATTTTTCAGAAAGAACTTCAACTTTTGTTCGGAGAGTACTGATAGGGCTTTGTGACTGTCACTCCATGACTTCCATTAATGTTGTAACTGTTGTTCGCAGTGGCGTCGCCAAGGGGGGGCCAGGGGGGGCACGTGCCCCCCCTGGAAAACCTAGTGCCCCCCGAGTGCCCCCCCATCTGAGATTTGGGTTGGTAAAAAAATATATATATATTTTGTTATATTCAACTCCCATCATCTGAGTTGGTTAAATAGCAATTTCTGGAGATATCTTCAGATCGAATTTAGCATCAAATGTGGCACCATTTTGCATCTAGCCCATCCTCCGTATGCGAAAATTTTCCAAAGGGGAGGGGGGCACCCCCTCCCCCAGGACGGCGATCCGTATCCACCTAAGTGCCCCCCATCAAATGCTGGTGCCCCCCCCCCGTGCCCCCCCAGACTGAAAAGTCTGGTGACGCCACTGGTTGTTCGTGAGGACGAAGTTGAGGTGTGGAATAAAACGTGTTTCTCTTGAGAGAATCAATTTTCTGGTTCCTGCATTGTTTGCAGGGTGACCACTTCATTCTCAGGATCAGCAGATCCCCTCACAAGGCAGACCCAACGGTACATGCCGTCACGGAATTCTCGGATACGCCACCAGTAGATGAACGGGTTAATGAGAGAGTTGAGCATCAGTAGGAGGAGGGAGAGCTGGTAGAGAACCTTGAGGCTTTGGGGCTGAACGGAATATATCTTGCCACTGACGTAATTCATGAAGTTGGCGATGCAGAATGGGATCCAACAAGCGAAGCACGTGACTAAGATAATAGCGAAGGTGATCATCAAGTAGCGCGTCTGGCGGAGGCGCGCACGGGCCACGGACTCGTCGGCCCGGGCGCCTTCGGTGGATGCAAGTGGTGGAGTGTACCGGGCGATTTGACGGAACACGGTGCAGTACAAGACAGCCGTGATGAGCAGGATGACTAGCGAGATCAACGGCCGCAGCATGTATGCCACAAGCGGGGTGTTGATATGCGTGGTGGGGACATAGAGGGCGGCAGAGATGACCCAAATCAGCAGGCAAGCTGCCAGCATGCGACCGCGTGTCACCATGGCGTCATAGCGAGCTGGGGGCGTGATGGTCAAAGCTAGGAGTCGATTCACAGCAATCGCTAGGATGCTCAGCTCCACGGCACACAGGGACGTGTGGAACAAACTTAAAGACACCACGCTGGGAACCTGCAAGTACGCTCTGAATTTTACAAGCAAGATGAAGGTCGGAGCCGCAATGTCGCCGAGCACGAGGTTGAAGGCGAAGCCGTAGTACTTGACGCGGAGCTGCTTGGTAGCTGCAAATAGCACCACGGCAAGGACGTTACTGACTATGGCTGCGCCGCAGACTACCTGCAAAGCAGTGCTGATGGCTTGCAAAGTGTCAACCATGTTGGCTTCTGGTAATCTATAGGTATACGAAACAAAACAGAAGCGCAGCAAGGTCATGTTTATTGGTTCAAATGCCCTGGAAAAGTGACTCAGAGAAGTGTCATTTTGAACTGGAAAAAAAGGGTCAAATCTGACCCTGGAAATAAAAAAGGGCACTGCGTCCTGAATTCCCCGAAATATTCATGTTTTGGACTGTTTACTTATCATATTTTAAACATCGATCTGGTTGAAAGGAAACATACCAGTATGTCGGTTGGACACGGTGGAGTACGGAACGTATTTTTCCCGTCGTTTTCAATCAATGTTGGACACACGTTAATGCGTTTCACATAAGTTACACACAACACCAATACACAAATGTGGTTTCTTACACGTCCGCGGAAGGCGATCACTTTACGGCTGGAATCAAAACTAGCATGAACAGCCCGACTTTTTGGGGGTCACAAAAGAGGACCAAAAGTGGAGTTTTGTAGCCAAATTGGGCTCGTTTCAGGGCGCAGTGCCCTTTTAAGTGTATAAAAACCCAAGTGTAATATCATATAAATTGCCCTCCTAAGGATTTCGGGGAACATCGGTATTGGGGAACATAGGCATTGGGGAACATCGGGTAGACCCCCTCCCCCAGTCACCCATCACACTGGAAATGTGTTCACCGTGGTTAACGGGCGTAACAGAAAGTGGCGCCGCCTACTGTAACATCCAGGCCCCCCCCCCCCCCCCCCCCCCTTTACGGTCAGAACCCTGGCTACGCCGCTGGTCGGCATAGGCCTAGAACCTCGCTGTTTTGTTTGTATGTTGGTTGGTTGTTTTATTTTCTATTATACGATATAAACCGATCAAATAAAATTTAAAAAACAAACTTGAATATAAACGAATATGGTGGGTACTAGAGTGGCATTGTTGTTTTCCGGAACGTTTAATCTGCTCAGTCTCTGTAGCAGGAAAGCAAATGGTTCTTTCTGGTAGCAGAAAAGCAGATGTACCTTTTTTAACCGTACGTGGACAAAAAGTAAAACCTGCTTTTTGGTAGCAGAAAAGTCGAGAAGTGCATTTTTGCAAAACGTTCAATCTGCTTTTCTTGTAGCAGAAAAGCAGAAAAGTAAAAAATGCATTTGAACAAAACGGTCAATCTGCTTTTCTGCTCTTCTGTTAGCAGAAAAGCAGATGTCCACTTTTGAACCTCCATACTCCGTGCACAAGTACCCCTTCAACAGCCTCGACTCCATGGGCGCGTGCGCGTTCTTCACTAACCCCTAATTTAATATAGCTCTATGCCCCTGTCCGTGATAAACACGTAAACGACGCTGACTGGCTATTCAGAGTGCACTGCGCGCGCATTTCAAAGAGTGCACGCCCTATCCGGTTCGTTAGTGTGACGTCACCTCCAGCACTTTCTGCACGATTGGAACCGGAAGTTAACGCAGCTCGAGCGTTTGTAGCCAATGTGCGCTAGTATACAAATATTGAATGCTTCGAGAGGTGCAGTAAAACTAGCCTCCCGAGGTGATCAAAGTAGAATGGTCCATGGATCACCGAGGGAGGCTAGATTTACTTCACCACGAGATAAAGCATTCAATATTTGTTTTATAACACTTCACCCACAGATTCTGCCTGGTTTTAATATCTTAAATTATTTAAATCTGAACACAGTTGAAATAAACTTCAATTTCAACACAAAATTGATGGAAAATGTATTTCTCTCTTCGAAACTACCCCTTCACGATATGTTTGAACCCAAGTCTGCGGCACGCTCTCTTTGGAACAATACGCGCTACGCGCAACGCGTAAGGCGCACACCAGCATCTTTTTGCAAACAAATACCGCGCCGTGGAAATATGCAAATATTGAATGCTTCGAGAGGTGTAGTAAAACTAGCCTCCCGAGGTGATCAAAGTAGAATGGTCCATGGATCACCGAGGGAGGCTAGATTTACTTCACCACGAGATAAAGCATTCAATATTTGTTTTATAACACTTCACCCACAGATTCTGCCTGGTTTTAATATCTTAAATTATTTAAATCTGAACACAGTTGAAATAAACTTCAATTTCAACACAAAATTGATGGAAAATGTATTTCTCTCTTCGAAACTACCCCTTCACGATATGTTTGAACCCAAGTCTGCGGCACGCTCTCTTTGGAACAATACGCGCTACGCGCAACGCGTAAGGCGCACACCAGCATCTATTTGCAAACAAATACCGCGCCGTGGAAATAGTACTTTGGTTGCTAATGATATAGTACTTTGGTTGCTACGGGTATAGTACTTTTGGCAGTGCACAGAAAGATAGCAAAATTAGAAAGTAACATGTGACTCGCTCTCGGCCAATCAAGACACAGAATCTGTGGGTGAGGTGTTATAATCATCAATGGTGGGCGCGCGTGTATGACGTTTTTACTAACGAACCGGATAGGGCGCTCGCGCGCTATGCACGTCACGTCAAGTACGATTTTTTTCACAACTGCGCGATGCCTGTACGATATGGATTATAAGCCTCGTTTTTCGCCCAAAAGAACCTGAATCTTCGGTTGTAACGGGACGAAAGAGGTATGTACATTCAATACAAATCCTTGCCAAATAACGCGGCGTCCAAAGTTTGAAAGGATTGATTCTTAAAAAAAAAAAAATCGCGGAAGTCATGATGGGAGACAGCATGGCGCAGCAAGATCGGACCCATGGAAACCAGGTTGCCACTTCAGCGGCAAGAAAAGGAGAGTTGGGGGAGACCTAGACTGGTCTCCGATACATCCAATGCGTATTTCGAATGATCCAAAACTATTGGGGCGGGGATTAGTCTGGGAGCTTCGGCACATCCAGGAAGTCGTGCGTACTTCGCGCGCGAACCAGTACAGTACAGTACAGTTCAGTACGCGCACGCCGTGTGTCCCGTCCATCACGTGGCTCTCAAAAGTGGTAAAAAGTCGCCCTCTTTTGTTGGTGCACGGAACCCCACGGGCCTAAATAAAACAGGGAGAACCTACTGATACCCAAAAGGTGTCGGGCCCCGAGACGTCATTGCCTGAAGGAGGCCATTGCCTGAATTATGGTGTAGGCTTGCAACGCTTATGCAATTAATGTTAAAGGCAAATTGTGCTTCCAAAGCAATATCAACTTAGGTTTCAGGTTCGTGGAGTGGGCCAACGGGTAATTTCGTTTGGGGAAAATGGTCCAAATTTTTCCCGTTCGTAAAAATAATTGTGAAAGTATCTGAGGGTATTTCTACAAGTACCGGTAGTGGGGAATTTCCTTTTCAAAAATAATTGCCATCATGTCTCTGGGGGCAGTTGCCACCATCCCCCCCCCCCCTTCCCACTCTCTTCCCCGGCTGGATGACACCGCCCGATGTTCCCAAATACCTATGTTCCCCTATGCATAATGTCCCCCAATACCCATGTTCCCCAATCCTCAGGGTAAGGGTTAGGGTAATGGGGGGAACATAGGTATTGGGGAACATTATGCCGCACCCGCTGCTCCGAAGCTAGCCTTTCGCCAAGTCAATCGTGGCTTAACTTGCCGGCATTAGACAAAGCGGCGAACGGAAGCTCTGCTAATAGCAGAACTGGCAGTAAACGATGACGAGTTTCCTTCGTTGATCGCTGACAATCGCGGAGCTCCGTGTAAACGTTCGTGTGCCTTCCACTCGTTATAAAATGAGTTGTATAGGCTATACGCACCGCGTGGAAAACCAAACTGTGTAACGATTTACATAAAATTGCTTAAAATACTAAAACTTTATTGTCTCAGTATGCCAGGATGCCAGATGCAGATTTTGAGACAAAATGACCAGCGCTTAATTCGCATCGTTGTCGCTGAATAATTGGGAAATGGCAAGCATCGAATAATTATTAACGACCAAAAAAATCCAACAACACACGGTATATACTAAAAGCTCGCAGGGGATAGTAGTTGGCAGCGACGTCCCGATTGCTGCAGCGGGGGCGGATCTAGTGAGGGGTTTGGGTTAACCAATGTTATGATACTTGTAAAACGAGGCCAACATATTAAATGGAACGCTATAGTTCCTAAATTCATTCTGAAATTACCTTAGAATGCAGAAGAAAGCATTTTTGTAGATTTCAGAATTTCCGAGGGGCATGCCTCGGACGCGATATTTTTTTCCGCACACAATTATATTGGGGTCTACCCGATGTTCCCCAATACCTGTGTTCCCCAAAACCGATTTTCCGCGAGAACCTTAGGATTAGGGTTAGGGTTACAAGGCTAGGGTTAGGGTTAGGGTTATACGGTAAGGATTTTGGGGAACATCGGTATTGGGAAACATCGGTATTGGGGAACATAGGCATGCACCCATTATATTCCTTATGGGCGTATTCAAAGTACGTTGAGTTGCAAGTCAGGTTCTCGGACTTTATTTTCCCTTGAAAAAAAATCCTCCAAACCACATATTGGTAAAAGAAATACTCCACACCACATACTGGTAAAAGACAAATGTTTCAAATGACTAACAAACCTTTATAAGAGAGAAAAAGAAGTAAAGAAGAAATTTAAAAAAAAACATCCAATGAGAATCGAACTCACACCATCGGATTTGTAATCCAATGTAGTATGCATGATACTACAGCAGTGACTCGATCGATATGGTCGTTTTAAACATTATACTATTGCACGTATAGGGCCCTCCAGCATAATTCTACATATAGTAGCGAATAGGTGGTATGGAAAAAAAATCGCCACCGGACCGCCCAAAGCAGGGCGTGCATTTGGCACGCTTTCACTCAACTCCTTTCATATCACCCCCCCCCCCTTCTGAAAACTAGATCCGCCCTCGTGCGGTAGAAACGAAGAGAAGAAGAGAGACGAGAAAGAAAAGGATATTGCACATATTACGCGTGTATTGTGATATGAACACCATATATGTATCGAGCCTAGCGGCCGTCTTACTAGCAGGAAGTCCATTAACTTGGATATTAATTAATTTGACATTTCCAACAGTAGTTGATGATAAATTTGAAAAAAAACCTCTAAGATCGGTGCTAAA